CAATCTGAGACATGAAGATATGCGAGGTTCAGCAAAAGTGATGGAATTCATATGGGGAGATGATCCTGACCTGGAACTGACTGAACCTCCACCTGATGTTGGTAATATGTTGGTTCTCTCGTATAGAGCAGCAACATGTACTATTTCCCTTGCAGTGTGGCACATCAAATCTTGGATGGTTAATTGTTAATAAAAAAATTTACCAAATTGGAGAAGGAAAAAAAACAGAGAGAAAAACCTCTTGCAAAATGGGACACATTTTGATGGCAAAAACTTTTGTAAAAGTCCAACTGAGAGTTATCTGCTCTAGAATCAAATTCGAAATTGTCTTAATCCAAGCATGATTTCGAATTCTAAAGCATAATAACCTCTCTTAGAATACCCAAAGGGTAGTTGAATCATTGAGGATTCTGTCATCAAGTACTTATAGCATAAAGGCATATTCCTTTCTATGGTAAGTGGTAGGAGCAGCTTTTGTATTTTGTGAGAAAAAATTGGTATCTTTGTTGCATTCTCTTACACGACAGCATCTCTATGGTACGCCAAAAGTCGTCTTAGTTTACTGCATGCTCCACTGCTCATATTTCGATCATAGTAATGAACCTGGATTTGAATGCTTTGAGACCAGAATCAATCTCATGTCATTTGATGTTCTTTCTTTTTAGGTCAAAGTGCTATTGAATAATATCAATACTCAAAACCAAATTTTGTTAAAGTTGTATTTTTACCAAAATGTTATTCCAGTGCTAGGTTCTGATGTAATCTATAGTGAGGGAGCAGTTTTGGATTTGCTGTCTACACTGCGGCAACTCTGTGGAGGTGAAACAACAATCTTTTTGGCTGGAGAACTTCGAAATGGTAACAATTGCCTTTTATATTATTTGAATGTCCTTTTTCTGTAGTGTACTCAATTTCTACTTCCTACTGCAGATGCTGTCCTTGAATACTTCTTAGAGTGCGCAATGAAGGATTTTGTAATTGGGCGTTTGGACCAAAGACAATGGCATCCGGACTATTGCAGCAGTCGTGTTGTTTTGTATGTTCTCGTCAAGAAGTGATAGTTGAGGGGGGGAAATGATCAATGGGTAATTCATAACCAATACAAGTTCAATCATAAATGGTCATGTAATTCACTTTCATTGACCTGTATTCATGAAAAAGAGAGGAAAGCCCTTAAGTTGTGGCCTGTATTCATCTCTTTTAGTCTCAGTTTTGAGTGATGCCATGCCAGAAGAGGAGAATGCTTCAATTTTGGAATCAAACTTTTGTTACATTTCTTCTTTTTAACTTGTTTGAGTCAGAGAAATATGATGCAGATCACTCGCCAGTCAGTCACCAACCTTTGCTTCCCCAACTCTCTAAATCGTTTTGATTGGTGTCTATAGAGTATGGGTAGAATCTGTGTCTTCCCCAACTCTCTAAGTCCCTTCTTCATATTCTCCTTGATGATATGATATGCAGTGCAAATGTGCCGTACGAACAGCTACCAACCCAATCATAAAAGGAATTACTTAATGAATAATGTAATTTAGAATAAAATCCAGTCGCCAATATTTTTGTGCATATAGAACTAAAATTTATTTTCATTATTCGATCATCTAAACCCAAACTAAAACACTTTCACATTTTAACAGTACTTTTGTTTCCAATTCCAATGTTGTTGAATGAGATGTCTAAAATTTTAGCACCTGATTTTTTATTTTTTATTTTTATTTTTATTTAAGAAGAAAAACAAGTTGGAGTGGAGTGTCCGGTAAAAGACAGCCTAGCCCTATGCAACGGTTAGGTGAAGAAAACCTTTACCCACCAACCCCCGCTTTTGTACAGACTACAGCTACAGATTATTTGTTGACTTGTAAAGAGGAGAGAGTCTAAAGACAATTGCTTTGCTCGCTCACTCCAGCCAACCTCGTCGTCTCCCTCGTCTGGTTCTTCTTTGTTGATTGTTCGCTGTCTGTCTGTCTGTCTGTCTGTCTGTCTTGTCTTCGGAATATTAATTCAGGAAAGACAAGCTTTGCGCAACAAATGCAAATGTCATTGCCTTGCGTAAAACAACCCGATGTCATCACCTGCAAAGGTATGTATGTTATTTCTACAATGCATGCTTGCTGCAATCTTCACATTCAC